TGGGCCAAAAGCGACACAGTAATATCAACAAAAAAAAGTAATTATAAATATGATAAATCTAAAAATAACAATAAAATCACATATGCTCCAAACGCATTGTAATAATATAACAAGACAAATCGTATAAAAATAAAAATAATATTTTTAAGAAATATAATGGAATAGAGATACCTTGGATGGTCTGGCGTTCGAGTGGTTATGCCCACGCGACCGTGTTCACACGTGCGATGAACGCCATAACCGGCAGAAGAATCGGTTGATCAGCGGCGTCGGTCTTAATTTACAATAACTTCTCCGCGCACGACAATAACTGTAAGAAAATTTCACGGACACGGGTTAGCTATGGTTCGAACAGTCGTCACACACACAAAGTTGTCCCCAAAGATGGCGACTCCACCGTGCTATGCCGCAACTACAAAAACACACGACCGGTGGCACGGAAAAAACGACGAGTCCGACGTTCGCAGAGAAAATGTCGGCGGAAAAACGTCCCAGAGTAATGGCGTTCACGGATCGGTGATAATCGTATCGATCGTATCGCGATAACGCGCCGATCGAAAATTCTCGGACATCATACGCCGACACCGTTATCGGGTGCTCCGGTTAACACGAAATGGGATAATTTGACACTTTCGCAAAAGATTTCATTTTCTAATTCGAATTATTAGGTATATAAATCGCGCAAAACAAATTTATCCGTAACATCCAACGCACTTGTGTGGGAATAGTGAAAACGAAATATGTTTAAATGTTTATGCGTCGTGAAAGGAGTTAGTGATATGTGTATAAGATTTAACTGAAAGTTTATATTTTGTTCGGACCGTGGTATACATTTAAGTTTCTGGTTATGCTGGGCCAGCGCTCTTGGAAATTTTCACTTTACTACATGGTGTTATAGGGATTTTCACTTTCCATCCCCCCCGCACTTTTTGGGTTTACCATCCGCCACTATGGCATTCTCATCTTACCACCCGCTGGACGGATAAATGTTACATTCCAACACTTCGACCGTGGTCGAAAACCAAACTTTCGGTACAGGTGTGACAAAAATGTTATACCTAGAGAGTCATGTTTTAATTTCGATTACCGTTTACCTTTGTGTTTATCATTTCGATTTCTTTATTGTATAGCACTTACGAGTGTGACGAGAACTTTGAATGGCTGATGAAATTATATTTTGGGATGAAAGTAATTCAACAGCGAACGATCTTATGAGTAAGGGAGCAGGTTTTAGAATTTTTCAAGAATTTCGTGAAAGATTGAATGCTCTGCAAATGTTTTCAATGCCTATAATAATACACAAAAAGAATAAGATAATGATAAATATTGGAATAATAAACTTGAAAAATTTTTCCGATCTCGTCAAACATTTCTGTTCTCCCTTAAAATAACAAGTATGTGCCGTCACTATAATAACACACCTTCACGAAAAAAAATAAAGTGAAATAAATTTTGTCATCGTTATTGATATAACTATGTTATTTTGGATATTATAATTTTTATTAAAAGACTTTTAAGTTTATTATTAGTGCTTTTTTATATGCAAAAATGTACATTTCAATGATCGTCAACATTTAATATAAAGGATTTTAATTGATTTTTATTTGAAATGTAAAATAATTAATTCTTGAAAATGTCATGAAATATTTCAGTATTTAAAAAAAAAAAATGTTTCTATTTTAAATATGTTTAATTTTTATGTATATTTCACATTTTTTAGGTAGAACAAATTAATAAGACCCATTAGTCATTAAATTTATTTTATTTTTAATTTTTAAAGTTTATTATTTGTTAAATTTTTTTTGTCAAGAATGTTTTGAATACAATAAGATTTAACACTATGAAATTTCAATATATTAAGTTTCAAAAACAATAAGGGTTGATAAATAATTAATTTAAATAATAGGTACTTACTATATATACCTATCATGTAGGTAATAGATACCTACTTTATTTTTCCATAAATAATTATTACATTAAATATCAGGATATCTAGTCTCCATATATAACCATGATTACTATATGTAAATTGACGTTAAAAAGGTTTTAAATTCACGGATAAATGATAATTTTGTACCTATATTTTACTACCTAGTAGATAATTAAAAACTAGAACTAACCATAAGAAAGTGAGTACCCGTGGATTTAAACCGTCTTTAAGTTACCCTGTGATAAAATCATATACAACATACTTGTATCAGTTTGAATGAGTTGCGTCAGATTTAACCTGACTTTTGTTATAGATAGGTATACATGAGATTTATTTTTATTGGTATATATATATATTAAGTGGGCTCTAATTATTTCCAGTTTCCCGGTAGGGAAAATTAACCCAGTACGCGCCTAAGCCCATAATCTATAAAAAAACCATTAAAATCGATTTATTCACCCCAAACTACGGTACATTATATTTGAGATATAATTTTATGCGTTTATAAATAAGTTCTGTAAAGTATAAAATATACAAATAATAAAATTATAAGTCCTTATTTAATTAGATTTATATTATTATTCCATTAAACCTATTGATAAGTAACTTATAGCCTATAGGATAAATAAATAAATAAATTACTATCTATTAAGTCAGCAAATTTAACCAGTTGCCCCACCCTTTCAAAATTTGAAATGATGCCCTTGAATTAGTTTATTTTTAAGACAACACTAAGTGCCAATGCAATCATAGAATGGAACAATAATCAACAATGTAGGGAAATGCACACTACGATATTCCTATAATAATAATTGATTGATTATAATTTTGATAAAATAGTGAATGTAATAGTTTACAGACATAATATAAACTTGTTACGCATTTTACTATTGATAATTCAAGGAGTATTTTTACTGAATAGGTTATTTCGAACTTCCGAGACAGAGAGTATCATGGACAAGCGGTGTGAGACGGTTAGAGATGTTCCGGGTACCCTTTAATTACTAGATAGTCGAGTACTCGATGTCATAATAATGACTCAGTCTTTACCCAAAACCCGGCGTAGTACTGAATTTTTACTCAGCCTTTACCTTGTACTTGTACTTGTACTTGTAATATTGAAATGTTTACTTGAGCAACATTTGATACCCGGTTTTTAATCAATTTTCTACTATGAAAATCTTTAAACACGGTAATTCTTAAAATGCTTTAAACCAGGTCACAAGTAGTTTCGTATTCTCCGGGCTAACTAGCGTCCAGAGAAAAAGAAAAATTTCTTTTCCCATTTAATTGTACACACACGAATATACCATAACACGAATAGAGAATTTTTGGCTATAGTAGCTGAAAGCTTTTAAAAATTAAAAATTAATTAAAAACCTTGAGAATTCCAATACTTAAGTTAATCTGAAATCAAAAGATATAAAAAATTATTATATGAATACGCTAATTTTTTTATATTTTTAGATAATTATTGCATTTGAAATTAAATAAACCAATTACCTACGTCATAGCATATACTAAATGACAAAATATGCTTACATTTAAATTATTAAAAATGTATAAATATGTTTAAAAGATACACAATACATTGATATATAATTATAGTTTCTGTACAGTATATACATTATAGATAAGAGTATTATACCTTACGGTGCAAATGAAATGTGCAAACAAAAAAACAAAAAAAAAAAAAAATTATCTTATTTTCAATTTTAAACTAATTTATTAAAAATGGTTTTGCGTGGAAAATTGTTAATTGTTAAAATTTTTATATACGAATGGTTTCGTATTTATTAATTTTACAAATATTATGAAAACAATTCATGATTACCAAAATAATGTTTTTATAAATTGTCAAAATAGTAAATAATATTATTTTCTATTTGGAATTCTATTCAACATCAAACAAGTCCAAAATATCCAATACGTATTATAAGCCATATGCATCACCGCAGTATACATCTAATTATATTCTAAAATACTACACAATGACTTTAAAGTAAATACTATTGAACTTGCTGACACTTCATAATATAATTCACCACAATAATTTAATTGCATAAAAACCCTCGTATAAATAATAATTCCATCAACATTTCTGAATAACCCGTCACGCAGACTTAAAAATAAATAGTTTAGGGACTTATTAATTTAATTAACCGGTGTTACCAACGATTTACTTCCTCTTTATTACACATCACGCTATATTTTAAATATAATTTTGTATAATAACCAGTTTACTAATTATATTATGGCTTATGCTTGATGGTTATTATTATTATGATCAAATTGCAGGCTATGGATGTTAATATTTAAAAAAAAATATTTGTATATAACAGATTATATCAAACATAATTATATTTATATATATAGTTGTATATATATAATTTTTTTACAGAATAAAATAGTATAAAAATTCGTATATTGAAATATAACAGACAATAAGGTATGCATTGAAATATTCAAACTTCTGAATTCTTTGCACCACTCCTAACTTATAATTAGAATAATAGTTTACTACTCTAACTCATAATTTTTTTTTCTTATACTATTTCATAGCTAATATATAACAATTTATACATAGAATTAGAGACGTGCAAATTTTTTAAGATATAAGATCAATAAGATATGAACGAAAATAAACGCGATTTTCATTATATAAAATAAAATATTTTTTTCATGGAAGAAAAAAGTTTGGTATCAAAAGTAATGTCATATCTTTTATTTTTTAGAATATAAATCTACCATTAATATCATGATAATTTGTTTATTTGAACAGTTCAATGATTGAATAATATGATGTACACAGAAAATTATTTAGTAGTTAATAGTCAACATCTGGCTTGTATTTTTAAAAAAAATAAGCACTATATTTAATGTTATACTATAATTTCAATTGTACTGAGTAACTACCACATTTCAAAGGTATATTATTTATTTTATTTTAAAATAAAACTAAAATTACATAAATACATATATAATATACATATATACGTATAGTCGCTTATCGAGTTTAATATACTTGTAACAATATTATTATAATTATATTATTATTTGTGATTTTCAGGCTGAAATGGGAAGGCAACGGAGGTGCGTGGTGTCCAAAAGGTTCTATATCCAACGATGGCCATCAGTATCTGGAGGTAAACTTGCAAGGGTTGCACGCAGTGACGGCCATCAAGACTCAGGGTCGGTATGGTAACGGGTCTGGTAAAGAGTTCGTTGAGGAAATAATGATCGAATATTGGAGACCAGGTTCCAACAAATGGATACGTTGGAAAGGCAGGGATGGCAAACAGGCAAGTTTTATTGTTTGTTATATTTTATATATATATATGTTAATTAGCATAAGTATTATATTAACTTGTCAAATATTTATTGAAACAAGACTATTATGGTTAACATAAGTGGTCGACAATAGTTGTTTGGATCGGACGCAATTCCTTGAGATTTGATATTGAGTAATAATATAGCAATGACAAACGGTGAATTCCTGAAAACGTGACATATTATATTCGGATTATATAAAAACTAATAATCATAAACAATATATATTTTTTTATGGTGTACACGAAAAATAAGAATAAAATAAAAATGTCAATGGGTTAACAGTGATTTTACAAAAAAAAATATTTTAGATGCATATTTCCAAACAACATCGTCCCTATTTGTGAAATCTCACGAATAAAATTTGATATGTACAATTTAAAATTCAACTTGTAATCCAATATTATTGAAGTACCTACGTAACGAATAAATGCACTACAATATTTTACAAAGCAGATATATGTATATATATAATAAAAATCTAGTTCACTTCATTAAATAACAAAATAAAAAACCTCTTCGAGAATTGTATAGTATTGAATTTTTCCTACTCATATTTTGAACATATATACTCGTATATACATATCTGTGAGTGATTGTATGTGGTATAATTATAATATATATATATCTGCTTGTAATAGTTTATCTATACACAATATATCATACTATATAAAAAATATAGTAATGTGTTACTGTACAACGCATCGTTTTGGTTGATACAACAATATCGTATTCAATTTACTTGAGCTTTTCAACACAATCATATGAAATGTAAATACATAGTGAATGAAAGATATTTTTGGATTGTGACGATCCAATAAAATAAAAATATACATTGTAAAAATGCCAACGAGAGATGATCAGACGAAACTTAAACATGTGTACAGAAAAAAAAAGTCAAGTGAGGAACGATGTTATTTACTCCATGCATAAATAATAAGTATTATAACTTAGATACTACGTCTCACAAATACTGTTCAAGTTGTTCACTCCGAGGAACGAAGCATCAAAAATGACATTCCAAATACAGTCAATGTTGTAAATGTCTACGAACACAATACAACCTAAATATATTGTATTTATAGTAACATTTTTGATGTTGCAGCAAATACGTGTTATAAACTGCGTGTATATCGAATAAAATCCAACGTATCAGTCCTGTGACTTTTATAATATTATCTTTGATACGTTTTATATAATCTATCCATCGAAATACAACAAAAATAGTTTTCAATTTTAAAAATAAAATATTCTGCCAAACGCTGAAACGTGTAAAAAAAAAATTGACACTAAAAACAAAATAATACCATAAACATTTTATTTTTTTAATCTTATAAAATTATGATAAATACATTTGAATATAGAAACATGATTACGTATTATAATAATTAATATAATTTCCGAAGAGAATAGTTTAGTTTTATTGTAAATTGCATTATGTTATTTGGTAAACATGGATACAATTTAATTTAAATAGGCGGAAATTTTTTAAACACATAAAGTTAAGAGGTTAATTTGAAGAACCGATAAACTTGTCAGTGTTAAAAGTTATTATCTGATTAGTTAACAAAGTTCACTTATAAAATCAACTACCCTAACTAAATCATTTTTATATTATATCATGAAAGAAAAACTCATACAACATTGTTTAGTTGGCATGAGAATAATACATAATTTTTTAATAAACATTACTTTGTTCAAAATTATCTTCAATTTATTAACTTCACTTATGTTTCATTATTAAGTTTACAAATATCAATAGTTTTATTTTCAAATTTAAATGTCAACGATTTCCTAGTACTTTCACAAGGAAACTTACACTCAGTCAAATCTGTCATTTAATTTTTATTATTATTTCTATTTATATATTTATTTTCATTAATTATTCTTATTGTTCTGCATTGTAACGTATTAAATAAAAATAAATTATAAAAACAAAAAAAATTTCAATGATTCAACAATTTTAACATCTGATTTTTTGTATAAGAAAAATTATTAATAAATAATATTATAATATAAAACAAAATAGAATGATTTTAAGGCTTATCACAATTATTATAATAAGCATTATTTTATTATCATGAATAATTTAAACAACTTGTTTAAAATATAACATATGAAATATGATATAACAATACTATATAATAAGTTTTTTTTTTTTTAGTAGAAACAAATATTATATTGGTGTCTTATTTAAGCTATAAGTTTGAATACTATAGATATATACATATCGTAAATATATTATGTGTTGCTATTATGTAAATTATTTTATACAAGAATTCTATAAACTATAGTAGTGTATAAAGAATTAATTTTGTTTCGATAATTTTTAAATAATATTGACCAAGCATTTTCAAAATTTTTCGTTGTCGATTGTTGATAATAATAGCGTTTTTAATTGCAATATTATGACAGTAAAAATAATGTTTTGTAAACATTAATGTCTAAATAAGCACATTAATAAGGTCCATAAATAAAGAATTTTGATATCAAATGCATAATTTGAACACCAAACACAAATTTTTTCTTTAAAAGTTATTTGTTTTAATTTAAATATTATTTATTTATTAATATTAATGTTTATACGTTTTTGGTGCAAGTATTTTATGAGTGTATTCCAAAAATAAAATAAATGTTAGCTTAAAAAATTTCAACGAATATAATTTTTTGACTATACATTTATTATCCCTTCTTGAAATACGGGTATATGGCAAAAACTTTTTAGAATTTTTGACACCATTAATATTAGTACTAACTCAATTAATATGATGTCATAAGTAATTTATAAGTTATAACCTATCATATCATATATCAAATTATAACCTATGAATGACCTCGGTTGTATAATATACTATTATTTAATAAGTAAAGCATGAAATATAACATTAATTAAAAAATACAATCGTTATAATCGGAATTTAGTTAATTTGCATATCTTGCTTGTAGAAATTAATATTTCATTGGCTAAAACGATTTTGCAGCGAAATATACATTTTATTTGAATACATCTCGTCGTATATATATGTTGATAAATAAAAACTTGTTCAAAGCAAAATTATTTAGTAGTACGTTGAAAGCAACGTTTTTATTTGTGGTTGAAATATTCGAAATTGAATTTCTACCAACTTCAAATCCCGTATTCGATTAAGTTTATAGAGATAATCCTTACAAAAAGAAAAAAATAAGAAATATATAGTTTTACTTTTTCTTACAGTAACAACACGTATATATACCACGTATCAACATCAAAGGAATTTCAACCTTTAAGTGTGCTTGCAACTTCGTATTTTTGTACGTGTACGTGTACGTGTACGTGTGTGTGTGTGTGTGTGTGTGTGTGTGTCATATTCAAGATAAAAAATTATACATTACCCTTATTCAATATGTACAAATAGTTGTTGACATGATTCTTGACCTTACAGTATGACTAAAATGTCACTAAACTTTGATCTCAAACAGTATAACTTATAAATAATGGTGCTTATATTATAGTATTTAACATATATGTATTAGTGTATTTATTTTTGAATTAGATTAATAAATTACATTAATTTTTTTCTCAACCAACAATCATTGACAACATTAACTAATTTTTTAATTTGGACGATTGAAAGATAAACTATAGTCAGTACCATGGAAAAACACTACTTATATTATGCATTACTTATGTGAAAAAATTCACTACAGTAAGCACTACTACTCTAAACTATACTATTGTATGATACTATCTCATTATACTTAATATTTACCTAGTATACTTTTTTAAAACGATTTGCATTGTTTCTGTCAACCATTGTTGATATTACAATAACCAATAAGGATTATATAAGTAACGATAGGATACTTTGGATCTTGACCCTTCATAGCCAGATGCTAAATAATTAATTTTAAATTATTATTATTAGAATAGTTTCAATGAAATGTCTTATTATATTCAGCTTTTTTTTTTTTTTTTAATAATCGAACCTTTCCTGAACATGAAGGAATATTTTTAATATTTTAATTTTTCATGTAATCTTTTGTCAAAGTTAAAAAAAAAAAGATAAGAAAAAAGTTTATACCAGTGTTTCTTAAACTTTTTATCCCTGGAACCCTTTTTGGTGTCCATATTTATCGTGGAACTCCTACTTTTTTTTTAGCTTTTTAGCTCTTTTTAGGATTGTTTGTAAATAAATTATATTCATAAAATAATATTGTATTAAAGGTATTAAATATATTTCAAAAAATATGTTAAAATAAAAATTAATATAATAATAATTGTATAATATATATAATGGTATATAATAATACTTAAATAATAATTAATTAGACTATTCCATATGGCTTATACATTGTTATTTAATAGACAAATGTTTTTTTTTTATAATGCAAACATTTTTTTCACTATTACTAATCTTTGGTCAAAAATGTTAAAGTAATTTTCCTAACAATTTTTAAAAAATTACTAAAAATTACTTAATTTCCGCGGAATACAATTTAAGAAACGCTGGTCTATACTAATCATAATAAATTGTAACATTATGTTTATATATTTAATATTTTATTTTTATATATATTTATATTATAAACTATAATATTATGTACATGCTATTATAAAGATACTAAATGTTTATGTTGTACATAAAACAGTTTATTTTTAATTTTTAAATTAAGTTTATCAGTCGTCTTTGATTATTGAATGGTAACTGATATTAAAAGGTCTAAGAAATCCATTCAATTATAATTTTTAAATAATATTCTGTAAGAAATAGCATTATTTAATGATCCGTCTCCACATAGTAGCTTCTTAAAGTTATCATTTTCAAAGATAAAATTCCATCACTTTTCTTTGGCTGTTATTTTCACATTTTTTTTTCTTAAGCAACGCAATGCAATGTAACTGTAATTATCAATAACTAATAAATAATCCAAGAATTCATAAAACACCAAAATAATAATTTTGAGTACACAATTGAGTACAAGCATGTATATT